GAATTATAAAATAATTTATAAAGTAATTAAAAAGCAAAAGTTACAATACAATAAGGACAGATTAAGGCAATGTTAAGATTAGGAAGTCTTTATGAGAATTTGCATTCTCCCAAGATCTTTCACCCATTCCAAGAGTGAAAACTAGACTGAAGGAAGCATTCTTCTAGAATGAAAACTACTTTCTGTCTGACTATAGATCTGTAATCATGTGTAACATGCTTCTTTTAATGGCTTTCTCTGACACCAAGCACATAGCAGCGAATTAAAACCCCAAAGTAACATACCAGTGAACAGATCTTTGAACAATATTGATCTAGTAATGCATACCTAAACATTAAGTGAAAATAAATGTAGAAAAAACGGTGTACTTAACATTATTGTGAAGGCAGAACACTGTGGCATAGTAACGTTCAGGTAGCAAGCTTCATCAATTTGTAAGTTACATTGATTGATTACAGTAAAAAAAATTAAATGAGACAGAAAGTGTGCACTAAAGAGTGGTAATGATTATGAAATTTCCTACTGAGACAAGTCCTATTTCTTCACAAGCTGGCCTCGGTTAAATTGGTCTGTGGACAACCTAAACAATAAGAAGCACCCAGACAAATGTCAATATTTGAAGTGAGGGAACAACAGGCATTTTGGACAGCAAGCACATTTTCTTTGGATCACCCATGTTTTTAGCTTAATGTTGCCCTGGAAGAAATTTCAACAATGTATATTTTAAGTGAATATGTACGTGTCAGGATGGGAGCACAGGTCTGTCAGAAGGATCATCCAGCAGTTTAGAACCAGTCCTCTATCTTTTCTACAGTCTCAAAACAGAGACATCCTTTTCTTCCACTTCTTTTGTGGTTGTTCTGCCAAGTTTGTATTGAAATACTGTGTTGATTCTTTCTAAACTATCCCATGACATTTCTATGTAAACTATAACACAAAAGGTTTTGAACACCTTGATGTAGCCCTACTCTGATTAAAAATATATCAAATTGTAAATTTGCCTCCAGTACCTATTTCTGTGCCTCAGGACTTTTCAGGGACACAATTCATATATTGTTGTTCTCTCTTTATTCACTTTAGTTTGCAGTGAGACAAACCCAGGAGCTAGGACAGATAATTGTCACAGGGGTGCTTACAGAGTGCTCACATGGAAGAGCTCTGGGGTAAATACATGGAAATCACACTGGGAAAGTCTTTGTCATTTTAATAAGGAATAAAGAAGCATTCATACACATCGTTTATTGATTTTCATGAAATTCAGTGACTGAATTCAGTCTCTGTTATTATCAGCTGTGGATTTAATAAAATTTTTGCTGCCTAATGACTCTGCATGTAGTCAAACATGGATGTTATGTTATATAGAATTCCTTATAAAATTTTCTGTTGATTATTATTACCATCTTGTCTGTCAGCTTGAACACCTGCTGTTTGGGGCAGCAGCTGCCAGTTCTGACATCTGAGTGCAATCCAGAAAATTATAACCATGCATCATTCAAAACATCCTTTTCAAAGACACAGTCCAAACATCATAATTTCCTTGGTTGGTCGCCTGTTAGTATCATTTGTACTAAGATCTTGGAGATAAGTAGAAAAAGTTTCCAGATGCACAGCCATATATCGTAACTCTCAGATCATAAGGAAAACCATCACAAGTAAGCAGGGGGAGGGCATGGGGAGTGGAATTCAACTTTTGGAGCTCCTGTATGATTAAAGAGAAAGAACTGACAAAGTCTCACTTTATAGCAAGTTTTGTCCATATGTTGTGTAGAACAAGGCAAAGAACTATTTTAATCAGTTTTGTATTAAGCGTACAGTTAAAATTTTGAATGAAAATTCACAAAACACCCTAATATTTGTCCAGATTTGTTTGGAAATAAGAGAAAATTCTCAAAGGGTTTTTTTAATTTTAAGAAATTTTAGGGTTTTTTAAAAAGTTTTTTTCTGTTGAAGGCCACATGGTGAACCCACTAGTTTTAATAGACCTTAGGGTCAATACCTAAGTAGGTACACTAAAACCATGTAATCTGTCTTGACAGTAGAAGCTAGCAGCACAGATTTATTTAGTGAGGGTAACAAGAAAGGTTTACCATCCCCTTTAAATGTGTGGCTTATGGTCCTCCATCATCATATATGGCAAGAGAGTTAAAAAGCTTTCTCTTTCAACTCAACAGAGCAGTACTTTTCCTGTGAATTTTCCTACCCTGCCTGAAAAAACCCTGTGTCACAAAGCCTCTGTGTTTCTGTTAAGTGATGGAGATAGCTTTGTATAATGACAAGAGGAATAAGGTTTCAAGGGTTAAAGGTTTTGAGCAACAGGGAAGAACTATCTTATTTGTAAACATAAAAGTGAAAAAGCTCATGTTCCTAATCCTGCTTGTTCTTATACCATAGGGAAATTTTAGTGGACAGAGAAATCACCCATCCCAGTTGAAGCTTTAAGATATTTTCATGCTGGTTTTAAGACTTCATTGGTATAAGCTGTTGCAGTTCTGCCCAACTTGTTACATACAGACTTAACAAACAATACTAATGAAACAGTTGTCAAATCTTACCTCACAGCAAAGTGAACTTGGAAGGATGAAGAGGAGGACAAAGTCTATGAGCAATTCAAATTGCAAGTCTCTACTCCCAAAGTCACAGCTGAATAAATGACTTGGTGAACATCAGAACAACCTACACTGCTGAAGATCCTCTCTTTTCACTAGCACAGATAGCACAACAATCTCTCCTTTGGATCTCCTGGTAATATACACATAGAAATAAATCTGAAAGATCATAAGGTTTGGTCACCACAACCTAAAATACACAGATTCACTGTAGATGAAGATGGAAAAATGAGGTTTGGTTCACCGGATCATGGCTGGGTACTCCGATTATACCAGCATTGACTTAATTGACCTTAAGTGAATTGAATAACCTAAATAGCAAATTAACATCCTAACTTAGGGGACTAATCTTGAATCTTCTGCTTCCTGGGCAAACTGAACATTGATGTCATTCTCATGAAATTAATGGCCTCAATTATTTGGGGTGGCTGCTGGCCCAGTGATTCAGCTGGATTTGATCTGAAATGTCTGTGAAAATGAAGTTCTCAAAAAGCATTTATTTTAAGATAGACATTATTATGTCACCTAGTAAAACTAAAAAATAGCACCCACACATCTCTGCAATAAATAACAATGAGATCTTCCTTTCAAGCCATCTCATTGTAAGAAAAACTTCCAGCCAGGAAAGACAGGAAATACTTGACCAGAGAGATATATCTTATGCTAAAATCTGGGAGCCTCTTTCCAAGTGGAATCAATTCCACTGCTCAAACCTTTCAGCTACTCAAGAGTGAATATCCAAGCTAAATCATCAGGAGCAAAAGCAATTTAACATGTACTGTAATAAGTAATAATCACCAACCACCATGAAAAATCCAATTCAGAAGGTTTTAATTTGATCTATAATGTTTCCCAGCTGCCCATTATATTGAAACCTCTCCAGCATTTCATGGAAGAACATTTTCTCTTGTCCATATTGAATAAAATTTCCAACAATTAAAAAAAAATATTTTTCTGAAAATATTCTGCCTGAGGGATTTTTAATTTTTTGTACACAAATCATAGGTTTTACAGAATCAGAGTCCATAGCAATAATTTCCCACCCCCTCAACCTAGAGAATTTTAAAATATTTATTCTTTCACTGAGTCTAGGAGGACACAGGTTCAGCAAACTGACTTCATTATATTTTTCAACAACTGCAGAAAAACCAGTCAAAATCTAGGATAGGTTAAATGTTGGTTCTCAAATAGAAGAGAAACAAGATAATAAAATACCTCAGACTAAACATTTACACACTGTCTGCTTGGGCTGGAGTGTACGGACATTTGAGTTCTTTGGATTTCTGGTGGAGTCTTAAGCTATAGCAAAGCATTTGGCTGAACTGCCAACAGCACCAGTTTACCCAGGAGGCTGCAGACATCCTTCCATCATTTCAAGATTCAGATTGTCTGAACAAAGAGAAAAAATGTGGAAAAGAAGCTGAAGAATGTCAATGCAGCAAAGAGAATGAAGTTGGACTTTGTGCTAGCTGGACACCAATACAGCATATTTCCCATCACACCTACTGCACAGACTGAGCAACATGCTTTTCCTGTGAAATGCATGTTCATCTGCTAAACAATTTGGTCTGAGACATCTGGGTTTGGAGGTTATAATGGCTATCAGAAGGGTCTAATATGTGTCAAATGACTAGATTGCTTCCTCACATTTTAGCTGGACTAACAGAAGAATAATTTTAACAACATGGAGTATCCATCTTAATTTCAGGCTACACACTCAGCCAGCTTTTTTTCAGGAGAGCTAAACGACATCAGGGACTTAAAAAGACATAAAGCTCTACTGCCTACTGAAAGTTAGTTCCAGACTTCCTAGCAACATATGCAAAATCAAATTTTGTTGTCCTAATGATGAAGGGGAGAAACAAAGCCAAAAATTCCTTTCCTGTCCTCAGCCCAGATGTGGCAAAATTCAACCCTGCATCAGCAGTAGAGCAGTTCCCCTCTTCACCCTCCCTTCCTGGCCAGCTCAGGAGGTTTTTCCTCTAGCTTCCAGAGACAACACCAGCCCAGGGCAAAGGAGAAGAAGAGAGATTAATCATAGGAATTACTGATATTCTCCCCAATAGGGTGTCTACTGGGCTCCCTACTGGCAGCAGAGGCAGGTGGGGAGTGGATATGGTAGTCAGGCAGCTCTGCCCAGCCCTGGCCTCCTTCCCTGGGGCTGTGCCTTCACCTGGGCTTAGTGCCCTGTGCTGTTCAGGAAAAACTGCCTGGGGTAAAGGTCTGCTTCTATTGCTGAACCAGACCTAGACTGAGATGGATGTACAGCCCTGGGGTGTCTTATCTCCACCCGAAGTCAGGATTTTGCTGTATGTAGAATCATTTAGCTGCCATTACTAGCTTCCTTTGCCAGTGTGGAAAGTTTACAGTCTCCATTGAAACAGACTTACTGACCGACAGGGCCTGTGAGCTGGATGTTTGTACAGGGGCTGGCACCATGAGGCTCTGCACCAGGGGCTGCTAAGCATTCCCTCAGAAATGCTGTAAGTGGATAAAGAGAAATCACCAGTTAAAAACTAATAACACTGTTGGGTCTACATTGTCCAAACCCCAATATTACCTTGCTGAAAATAATTAAAACCAATGCACTTCCATGAGGCAGTTGGGCAAATGGGAATTTTCATAGGCTGAATAGAGAGGTGTTTGTGTTGCCTGAGAGGTATTGCAGGGAAACCATGAGTGGATGTAAGAGAATACAGACAAGGCAGAGTTTGATGAGAGATGCCTCACTCTAGGGCCTCTTAGAATAACAGTTGAAAACTAAACTGTGGGTGGTTGGATATCTCATTTTCCTTACAGAATACCGAGGGATGATATAGAAAATCATGAAGACACTGTGTGCCTTAGTGTCAGTAAGTCAGTGTCACATCCCTCTCTCTGTGGACAATGTGTGACGGGGAATAAGAATGCCAGCTGATGCAGAGTGCTGCTTGGCTTGAACTTGATGGATCCTCCCCATGCCTATTTCTCTTCCTGGGTAGCTATTTATTTTGCATAGATTAGCTCTTACTGGTAAAAATAATTATAATTTCCTAATAATGGGCGTAATGTGAAACAAAATCTTGTTTCATGTTTTGGTCAAACATTTCAGTGGCTTTTATCACACACTGAATGCACTTGGCAGCAAGCTGAATGTAGGATCAATAGAACATTCAGCTACTAACCCTCCCCCTGCAATTCTTATTTTTAGTATGAGCTTTAAACACAGTATGTACTGACCAAATTCCTGGTTTGTATTCTTACATTCCCCCTGAATTTTCACTTGCATATACTATTACTCCTTCTATCCTCTCCTAACCCATTTTGAAATGTTATTGTTTGCCATTTTATAGCTGCTGTGTTTCACCTCAGAATTGGCTGCATTTCAGTTGTGGTTACTCATTACATCTAGTTTATCAGTCTCTGAAGCACTGTGGGAAGAAAGGTGTTAAAAGGAATAAAAATTACTATTATTATTTTTGGTGAATAGAATTTTCACGACATTTTAACGAGAATCATGCTATAAAAGACTGGGAGATTTAAAAGTTTAATGAAGCTCATTCACCATTTCTGTCCACATTAAAAAGAATTGAGACATCCATTTCACAAGAATATTTGCTGCCTCTCTACATCAGGCCCAAGAGATGCACAGTTGCAGCTAAGAAACATGTTGTCTACTAAAAAATTAGTTGGATCTTGAAAACCTGACATCCCTGATGAATAAGCCATTATATTTTTGGAGGGACTGTTTGAGTCTTTAGCCGCACCAGTAACTTAAGTATATGCAATACAGAGCCTCTATGAACAATGTCAAAGAGGTCAAAACATAAGAAAAATTAGTCAAATTCAGCACAGAAAATCCAGGAAGGTTTGACAAAAGAGCCCACACTTTCCACGTGTCTCTAGTGCTAAAACATTCAGCCTGTATTCTGCTTCCTACAGCTTCCTCCAGACTGCAGAAAAGACTATTTTCAAAGGGCTGACAATATAGCCCTAAAAGGAGGTACATGGAGAAATTTTAGATGCTAACAAGTTAGCAAATTGGCTGATAAATCCAAAACTACTGCCATTGGACAGCTGACCTCTCAACAGTAGGAATGGTAATCCCCTTCATGACACCAACTAGTTTAAACTCCTACCTGCTTTGGATCATATTTGCTGTTAAAAGCAATGCTGTTTTTTGAATCAACCCACGGGCTATGTCAGCTGTTGAGCTGATACATCCCTTCTCAGCCCGTGATGCTGACTGTTCCATGACTGCCCTTCTGGAGCCAGGGACAGCTGTATCTCACCTCCTGGCCAGCAAAATTCCTGCTGCTGTTTTCCAGCAGTGCATTCACGGCACTAGTGAATCTGGCAGTAGTCACAGGAGTAGTTTAGTATTCTGAAAGCTTGCACTTCGTTAGGTAAACCTAGGGAGGGTATGTGAAGTTAGCTGGCCTGGGTTCATGACTCATCCAAATCCTAACTAATGATTAGGTAAGCCTGTGTTAGCTTGAATCTTGTCCTTCATTGTGCCTCCAAACCATCAGAAACAACCCTACAAGCCCTCAGGTAATCAACTTTATAATGATCATCTCATTGCAAACTTACAGACTCTTTCAGCATATATCAGTGGGTAGTAACAGCAGATGACTATGAAGGGATGTGGTGCTCAAACAGATGCCACTGGTTTCTTAATCTGCAATTAAACTGTTGTGATTTTGATGCTAACAGCATTTTCTTTGCCACCACTTTTCAAACCAATACTTCAGAATAAGCTGACAAACTTTGGTTCCTAGGCTAAATTTGCCTTATGTGTGTCTGGTGTCTTCTGGGAAATAGGAACTGGTAGCTTAGTAAACAGTACTCTCATGGATTTGTGAGAGATTGATAAAGTTTTACAAGCCAATAAAGAAGTAACAGCAGTCCTAGCATGTTTTACAGGATGTAGCAATAGGATTTAAAACAAGCCACATGTAAACTTACAACTTAATGATCTTTACTTTTGGAGATCTGATGCCTTTTTGAACCTGTCCAAACTTTTTGGCCTGGGTAAAAGTGGAGTCTGCCTGAGGCTTCGAACACACTCCAAGTTCAGCAGTTCTGGACACCGGCACCCAAACTCAGGGTGTGCGAGGACACTGACTTTTCTAGTCTAGACAATCAGACTAGATTTTCTTAGAGTCTGTAAAAATTATACTGATGAAAAAGCCTCAAAGTTCTTCCTGCCTGAACTATATTACCTCTCACTAAATGTTTCCTGAACAGGAAGGGCTAATCTTTTCATTAAAAATTAATTCACTCATACATGCCCCACCATTTTAGTAAGAAAATCCATAAAGTTTTCACCTCTTGGCTGTCACAATCTTGGGCTGCTAGTCCTCTATATTGCTCTAACTTCATAGGCAGGGAAATTTCAAATTAAAAGAGGAAAGTCATGATGGTGCAAAAGAACATTTATGGGGTCATCATTAAAACTTTTAAGACTGTTGTAAGTAAGACCACTTTTTATACATAGACTGATGCCAAACCATGCCTTTAGCTGGACACATCTTAATTCATTCTTCTTGCAAACACAGAAACTGACAAAACTGGGGGAGTTTGCCTGGTTTAATAAGGAAATGGGACTGTCTGCCCAGCTAAATCACTTGAGTTTCATGATTGATTTCGACCAAGTTTCAAAGAGAAGTAGGCAATGAAGCTCCTTCAACTAGTGTCAAATGCTGTTGGGTAGATGAGAGACTCTGAGAAAATGCAGGCAGAACTCAGCTCTTATAAATACAATTTAACTGTAGCAACCTTACCAAACAGTACATACATACTCACTGATAATATATATATATATATATAGCCCCGGACTGGTCACAACAATGCTGTCTCTTTCTAAGAGAAATATCAAAGATAACATGTGCAGAGCTGAGGTTATTGTGGGGAATTTTACGAGATAAAGAATGCAAATGCATAGAAATGAGAAACATTTCTTAATTATGAGTTCCTCATTAAGAGAGTAATTCACGGATCTAAGGTCAGGATCTAAACATGGCCCAGGTTACTTTTCTCCCACCTGATTTGCCCCTTTGCCTGCCACTCTGGTTCTAATTTTGGATTATTAAGGAGGACATGGTATTGTTTCAGATTAGAGAAACACAGATGCAGTTGTAATGCACATGGGCCTCGGGCAAAACACCTGCAGAAATTTCTCTCATTTCTATTGCTCCTCTTGCAAGTTTTAGTACATCTGTCTGCTTGTGAAAGAAGAAAGAACAGTGGCGCTTTGGTATTATTTAAATATTACTGTTTTTTGCAAATTTACAGGCATCTTTATGGATAAGACATAAAGCCCCAAACTCTCCCATACTGTATACTCACATACCATATAACAAAGTCCTGTATCAATTAGATAATACAAGCTACATCATGCTATCATGGCTTTTATTGCCTTCATGTGCTGGACGGATGCCAGTGTGGGCAATTCTGTCATGCCACCGTACACTTCCTCATAGCTAAAATTGGCTCTTCACTTTTAGTCCCAAAGTTATGTAAGATACTGTACTGCTACATGCTTGGGTGCTGAGTCCTACATGTGAGTACTATCATCAGCTCTGGCTGGAAAGAAATCATAGCCACATCCAGGTGGTGACACAGAGTAATGCAGTCCAGAACTTTGCATTAATGTAACTTTACCAAGCCCGTGTCTAAACTCTGCTCAGTATTTTAAACATTTGCAATCTTTCAAGATCTCAACTCAAAACCAAATTAAATGCAATCTTAGAGAAAATTTTGCTTCCTCTTTCTCCTCTTTTGTCTTCATGAGAAACTCACTTGTCCAAGGAGAAAAAGAATAACATTTACTCCTAGATGTCTGGTAAGTTAAAATGCAATATTTTATGCCCATTCACAGGACTCTCCAATGAAGTGGGTGGCATTCTGGCCTGACACAGTAGGAGAGGTGCTTCTTTCTCTTCCTTAAATAATACAGTACTTTAAAATCATCCTAAAATTTATGCAAAAAAAATAATATTTCAAATGAGATGGGGAAAAAAAGCATCAGTTAGATTTCTCTCTTGTCTCTCAGACATCTGTAAACTGCCTTCATGATCCTAAGGCATCTGTATTTATGGGTAGATATGTATTTTAAAAGAATTGTCCTTAATGATTTTAAAGTGCTGCCAAACATTTCAAAGCATTCTTTTTCCCCCTGTAAACCATTTGGAATAAAGTGAACAATAGTGGTTTGGTACAGCAGAGCAGCCTGCATTTGGGATTGCTCACTGGGTAACACTCACTTAGTTTCTGGACACCATTACAGTAACTGTATCCATTCAGGACAAGATAATTGCAAATTTTGTGTATATAGCAGAGGTTTTTGCAGTGATCATTGTTAGAAGTGTTGCAAACAAAGTAGGCTAAGAAAGGAAAACTGAAAAACTGATGGCTCTCTTACCAAGCAGCAAAACTAGTCTTGTAATTTTCTAAAATAG